CCGCTCCTCTTTGTCTCTCTTTCTTTTTGTCTGGAATCTCCGCACTGGTTTTCACGGATCAAGCAAAGTCAGAGAAGACGTAAACGACCGGGAAACGCCATGGAGGTCGACGTGCCTGAAGAAAATACAAATGAACAAACGGCGATGGAAATCGATGAGGATACCTTCGATAGGACACCGAGGATGTCCGGAAGTGTCAAAGTCATGGCCTCTTCGGGCACCATCGGCTCCGTATCCATCAGCTTGCATCCGTTGGTGATCATGAATGTCAGTGAGCACTGGACCAGGCTCAGGGCTCAGGAGGGCAGTGACCAGTTGGGTAAGATTTCTTTTAATAATTAATAGCAAGTCCAATAGTAGATGCAAATATTAGCATACATTGTTACTTAAGGTCCCTATTCTATAACTCTCAACGATAATATCAATGTTGTTATATCAACCTTCTAATAAGAAACAGAGAGTAAGACACAGTGTAAGAGACAGTGACAGAGAGATATAATATAAGACTGAATTATTATGTCCTTGTTGTTTGCTAAAGTTAAACAAAGATGAAATGATCATTGAGTTGCATCTCTTGCTAGAAAGCACCAATAATTATTATACAGCTTTTTTTATCTCTTATAATAAAATTATACTACAATGTAATAATATTGTTATTGGTGTTAAGAGTTACAAAATAGGGGCCTAATTATATGCTAAAAATTTTGGTATTATATAGATATTAACTTATATATGATAATATATATTTATATTCATACTTTTCTTACTTTTGTAAATAGATGTGTATCTAACATAAAAGAAATTGAGCTAAGAAGGGCTAAGTCAAACAAACAAATTTTAAATGTAATATGATACAATTGACGTTAAATAAAACATAAAAGTAAAAACAAAGATAAAAATATGTTTACATAGAACTAAATTTCGATTCTAATTGGATCCTTTTCAAAGTTATAAAACTAATATAAATATAAAACAGTTGATTAAATTAGACTAATAAAAGAATACTTATAGAGATACAATGATTAAAAAATGATTAAAAGTTTTTACTTTTATGTTTTATTTAATGTCAATCAATGTGTCATATTACGTACATTAAAATTTGTTTGGCTCATAGCCCTTCTTAGCACAATTTCTTTTATTTGAATTATTTGAGCCATATTTTATTACAGTGTACCTAGCATGTTTTTATATTATAATATATATACTATAAAATCTCAGAAATAAATGAACATACTTATGGATGAAAGTGAGATATATGAATACAGATCAATATAAATTCTGAAATGATTTTGAGATATTAATATGCAGTTAAAGTATTTCTAGAGGTCATAGTCATAAATTTGATAAATTTTATTAATAATTCTATGAATTATTAGTACTGTTTCTAATGTAGTACTGTTTCTAAAATACTTTCAGTGTATGGTGCTCTGATTGGTAAGCAGAAAGGTCGTAACATAGAAATTATGAATTCTTTTGAGCTGCTGTTCACTTGCATCGGCGATGATGTCATAATCGATAGGGAATATTATACCACAAAGGAGGAGCAATTTAAACAAGTTTTCAGTGAAATGGACTTTTTGGGCTGGTATACAACCGGTGATATGCCTACCGAGAAAGACATTCGAGTGCACAAGCAACTTTGTGAAATTAATGAAAGTCCTGTGTTATTGAAACTGGATCCAAGACCAAAAAACACAGAGGTGAGAAAATATATAAATGAGTGTATTTATTTTTATTGAAATATGTTTCTATGAGAAAATATCTTTCTTTTTTTTTATTAGTTTTTAAATACATGAAAGTATTTAAGAATGATTGTTGCAGCACTTATCTGTCTCTATGTATGAATCGGTGATCGATTTAGTTAATGGTGAGGCTACCATGTTATTTGTTCCATTAACTTACACATTAGCTACAGAGGAAGCTGAGAGAATTGGAGTCGATCACGTACAAAGGATGTGTAACAACGATCAAGGCGAATGCTCAGTAGGTGAGTAATACAACAATGCAATTAAGATAACTTTTATACTGCGATAAACTGTCAAAATCAACAGTAAATAATTCAAATATTTAACTTCAGTGGCTGAACACTTAACGGCACAACACAGTGCCATAAAAATGTTGCATGCGAGGGTGAAACTTGTTCTAAGATATGTGCAAGCTGTACAGAATGGAGAATTAAAAGGAAATCATGAGGTTCTTCGAGCAGCATGTTCTTTGAGTCATCGACTGCCTGTTCTGAACAATCCGAAATTTAAGGCTGACTTTTACAACGTTAGTATATGCTTATATAATTATTAATATATGCATTTAAAAGAATACACTATAAAAATATAATTTTATTAATTAGTTGTTTTAATCTAATTTATTTTTTATGTTAACAGCAATGCAATGATTTTGGCTTGATGACGTATCTCGGTATTATAACTAAAGGCTGTAATAATATAAATCAATTTGTAAACAAATTTAATATCCTGTACGATAGACAAGGCGTGGGACGACGTCTACGAAGTCTTTTCTTCTGATATGTAAATAGATTCTATTGTTTTTATACATGTCTTTTTTTACTTCTTAGATAACTAAGTATCGAACTCAGGATTAAAGTTTAAACAGCCAACTTAATCGAGGGATAGTACTTCTAGAGGTACGTTGTATCGAATATAAATAAAGTAAAGAAGTTACATAGCAGTCTTTTTGAAATAAAATGTAATAGCAAATGATAGAGAGTAAGAATCACCCGAAACATACATTATATCGTTAATATCATTCAGAAGTAATATTTATTAAATGCTGTCTTGTATAAATGGTATGTTTTAACACATTTCAATTAACAATAACGTGTGATATTAATAAAAACTGTGATGCGTTTCAAGAGATTTTTTTGCTTTACGTTAATATCGATTTAATATTTAGTCAAATTATATTATAAAAAATGAAATAAAATTTATATTGCAAATTAGGTATATATATATTGAAGTAATAATAAATCTCTAATAGATGCAAAATTATATCTTGTGATACGAAGAAATATGCCTAGTTTAGGCTCCGAATGAACAGTCATAAATCGTATATTAATCGATAGAAGGCATTCACCAAGTACGAAATAAAAAATTTTAATTGCCAAATTGAACTCTGATTAACGTACGGACCTTATCCCTCTTCAGTGTGTTACTTCTTCCTTATCGGAACTCTCTAAAATTAAAAAACATTATTAATGCTCTTACTGGCACATGGATGTCAAAGTATAAGAGCATCCCAGATATCATGACTGTTATATACAACTGTATGATATTCATTTTATAAGGCCAATATTCTGCATTGGCTTTAGCTCCTTCATCATTCTGCCGTGCAGTAACGAGTATGATTCATGTACCTGAGCCTATATTCTGTAACTGTTTTACACGCCTACCGACAGTTGTCGGTGTCGTTGTGCAACTTTTTCACCATATAAAATATCTACACAACGACACCGACAACTGTCGGTAGGCGTGTAAAACAGTTACAGAATGACCCTTGGATTGTATTCGGACTTTGACGAGGATAACGTTATGATTGCTTAATTAGCAAAATTTGTCACCTCAAACATTACAACTTATCTGTATAAAATATTGCCCGATAATAACCACATGCTAAATCATTTTTTATCAGTACTGAAAACCCTTCTATTTTATATGCATAGACAAATACGGTTTAGGTTTTATTCTTGGACTAATCAACATAACATATTTGATTTGTCGATCCAACATAAGTTATGCAGTCTTCTCTGAATGCTCAGCGTCTGATATGATAGAAAATGTAGTGAATAGTAACGACATTTTGAAAATCAGTCATTAAATGGGGAATTGATTTGATATATCATATTAGGTATGGGAAAAAGTTCGTGGCGTTACATCTAACGGGAAAAACGCCATGAACTTTTTCTCACACCTAATATTAATGAAGATTACCGCCATCATCGCGAAAAAACTCTGCTCTGAACGCAGAGAAAACAGACCAGTAGACCAGTGATACATAGTACAATACATATTTATAATTGTGAACTTTGGACAGCTCTAGCATTTAAGGGAGTTATTTACAAGGTTGTGCATATAGAATTTTTTGATTCTTTTTTGATGCCATATAATTCTAGCTATGTCTCAATACTGTTCACCCGAGTCTCAATTTCCATAAGAAAAACTGGGCATAGTTCTTTATTAATATGTACTTTATGTATAAATATATATATGTGTATGTATGTGTATGTATATATATATATATATATGTGTATGT